TATAAATCAGGAACACGTGTCTGGATTATAAATCAGGAACACGTGTCTGGATTATTAATCAGGAACACGTGTCTGAATTATACATCAGGAACACGTGTCTGGATTATACATCAGGAACACGTGTCTGGATTATTAATCAGGAACACGTGTCTGGATTATTAATCAGGAACACGTGTCTGAATTATACATCAGGAACACGTGTCTGGATAATAAATCAGGAACACGTCTGGACTATAAATCAGGAACACGTGTCTGGATTATAAATCAGGAACACGTGTCTGGATTATAAATCAGGAACACGTGTCTGGATTATAAATCAGGAACAAGCGTCCGGATTATAAATCAGGAACAAGCGTCCAGATTATAAATCAGGAACAAGCGTCTGGATTATAAATCAGGAACAAGCGTCCGGATTATAAATCAGGAACAAGCGTCCGGATTATAAATCAGGAACAAGCGTCCAGATTATAAATCAGGAACACGTGTCTGGATTATAAATCAGGAACACGTGTCGTCAGCTCATTGATGCGTTCAGTTGTCATGTGACGTCCTTGGCGTGTCCTCTCTGTGTCTCTGGCGATCCCTCCACTCTGTGATGAGGCGGTTGGCGAGGGCGTGTCTGGGAGGCAGCCAGAAGGCGGGATCTTCCCCTCTCCTGGGCGGAGCCTCCACCTGCAGGGCAGAGGTAATTTCCTCTAGAGTGAACCAGCGAGCATCCTCCAGTTCTGATTGGTTCACGTTCAGCTGGACAGGAAACCACAGCAGGTCACATGATGCCCAGGTGTCCCTCATGACCTATAACCCAGTCCTCTACCTTTCTAAACTGTGTAGAAGAGTGTGTTAGTCACCTGAGAGTGGGCGGGGCTAACAGTGGCATGGCAGCCCAGCATGAAAGAGCTGTGAGGGAAAGGCCAATGCTGTGAGGAGCTGTAGGAGATGTTCTGGACCTCCAAGCCCACCTCCTCTGCCACCTCCCTGCACAGAGCCTCCTCCAGACCCTCACCTAGAGACAAAACAAGACACGAGTCACACACCTGTTACAGGTTCACCTGGGGATCATGTCAAACCAGAAATATGAGACAGGTGAGTCGGCAGGTGGACAGGTGAGTCGGCAGTAGGCCTGTCGCGATAGTCAATAAATCAATTAATTGCACGATAACTTTTTTTGAGGTCGGTAAAAAAAAAGACGCCGATAAGTTTCATTTTCCTGCTTGTTTATTTACTTCGTCTCTTTCCCTCTCTGTGCTCCTTTACAGAGG